AATCTTTCCAATTTGATGAATTGTTTTTGGAGTTCATTAATGTGAAAGTCATGTCTAATAGAAAAATCATACCAGAACTATATAAATAAGAATATGAATAGTGGTTAAATAGGAATATTGTTACTTTAAAGAAATTATGCAATCATGTAACACCCATTTTGGATTGAGCGAGAAGCCGATTGGATAGAAATATAATATAGCCATAATGTTTGAGGTATTGTAGATACAATACCTCAAACATTCGTAGATACGAATATAATAGTATAGTTGTTATTATATATAAAATGCAAGCTGTCAAGTCTTTAAGCCTAAGCTAGGTAGCTAGGAAAACTTAGTGTTATGTGTTATATAAGTCCATGTAGGTACCTAGTACATTTCTACGTCTAGGTATACACCTAGACGTCGAAATGCAAAGAATTGATTACCTCTTCCGATCATAGATTAGTCCTTTTTTGTAGAATATTAGATTTCCGTGTTATAATTTTAATTATTTCAAGTACTTATGCCCTGCACAGAATGCGTCATATTTGGAGTGTGTGGCGTTTATCATTATCATTATCCTACAAGGAACTACTTTTAACTGACAGTGGCCTTAATGCAACGGTGTGCCGTTTATAGAATAAGAACGTGCATCTAAGGTTAACACGTTAATGTCAGGAGAGTCATACGTTTTAGAGCTCTTATAAAGAAAAATATAAAACATACAATATGAAAAAAATGTAAAATTACCTTATATAACTTTATTACACATGCTTGCTGTTTTGACATGAAAATAATTATGAATTATTTAAATATTAATAATACACTGACAATGTTTCACGTAATATTTACACAGCATCATTAACTTTCTGCTTTCGTCATCATCTTTCAATAAAAGATTGTGCATTGCCCTTGTTTACTTCATTACTTTCGTATAACGTAAATAAGTACATCTCCATACATACAAGTACACAGTAAGTCTTAACTCGACGTCATGTCACGTTCTTTTACGTCATTCCGCCGTCTTCCGGGGATTGATCGTAACATATTGTGTACAACACGGAAGCAACTTGTTGGCCATATTTTTCTCAAAAAAGGGTTCGAATAACAGTCCGATTGATTATTTGCAATCCGTGAGATGCTGGAATGGTGGCGAATAGATATAATAGCAGTATTTTTTCTTTAAAATGCTTATCTTTTATAGTTTTTATACTAGTGAATAAATTTTACTTTCTATTCGATTTATTTATAAAAATATTTTAAACAATTTATTTTTTTAAGTTGTTTAGATTTAAAATCATATTAATTCAATCCAATTAATTGTAAAAACATTCAATCAAATCAGTTTCTTAGGTTATGTTTCATTTCGGTATATAGTACCTTACAACTTAGTAAGGCTTTTCTTCAAAAGACGGACATATTGACTAAGATCATGTACTTTTTATTTTGGTCCATCTTTTGCGCCATTTTGATCTGAACTGACTCAGGTGCAGAAATTGCAATAATTTTAATGGGTACTCAGTGAAGGTTGAAACAAAAACCCGACTGTATTAAAATATTAACTATAATATATTTCTGACACCATATTGAAATAATATATCCTACGACACTCCCACAACTAAAAAGTAATGTAATGACACTTCATATGTTAAAATCTATTAATAGGTTTGGGCTTTAGCATACCAAATAATTTGACTTGCATATAAACAAACATTACTCTTTTTCGGCAGTTGAGTAAAGACTTATCAGATTTCGTATTGTTTACTGATGTATTACGTTCCAATTAAAGCGAAAATAGACGTAAATTTTTTGTAACTTAAAAGATTGAACTCAAGGATAATTAAGTTAAGTCTATTCGTAATTATTACAAACACGCATACAAAACCAAGCGTGGGGCCGTTTTGTCGCAGGTGTGTACTCGATATATTTTCCACACACCAAATTATATGTTAATATTTTCGAAAACCATTAATGTTATCTGTGTTATAATATGTAAAGACAAGTACTCCTCTATGTATTCAGTAAATTACGCTTATGTTCGAACTAGCCACTGGCTTTGTATAGGTCACACTAATTATCAAAAAAAATTCTGTCGATTAATCTTTACCAAAGTTCATCACACGCTGGGCTATCTGAAGATTGAACTCCAAAACTTCATTGGACTCAATGTATACCCATAGGGAACATACATACATATCTATTTTTAAATATTTAGATTAATCAATTACTAATTAATAATTCAAAAATTTTATGTTCAATTTTACTGGACACTTCCGGATAAATGTAATACAAAACATAATTCAATGCCTGCGACGCGATATAATAAAGCTGCTTCACTATATAGTGTTATTGAGGAACTAACAATGAATTTTAAGTTAAAACAAATCGTAGTAATCCGCATATAACTGGGCCTTCTGGCCTCGCTTCGTTTCCCAACATTTTTACGCTATGTCTTCGTGTTTGCGAAAGCATAGTGCAACAGAGAACATTCATTTATTTATTAAAGTGTTGCAAGTTGGTATTTTGCGCAATTATAATAAACAAAGGCCAGAGATTATTAACTTTTCAATGAAAGTGTTGTTTTATTTTGTACTACTTTGCGGTTTACGAAGCTTTCCCGCAGAGTTTTTGTGTGGCCGTCCGGAAATGACGATACAAAATAACAAAATGTATTCGTAGAAAGTTGTTGTTTATGACTTTAAATTAGCAAAAAATCTAACTAACTCTTACTTGCAGTAAAAAAAAAACATTTGGGTAAGAGTCTCAGCAGTTAAAAAAGCAAGTGTTAATTAAACAATTACGTCACTCGCAAGCTATTACATCTTTAGTTGGACGGGTAAGACAGAGCCACGAGTAGCTCACACATTAAATCCACATTTTATTATAAATTGGATATAATCGACAAAGTCTTCGTCTTGATTTTGTGCGGCGTATTCCATTATAATTTGTAACACGTGGTCTTAAAGTTGTAAGCCAGATGTCCCAGCTACTAAGCCATGACAAACTGTAGCGATATTTTTGTCAATAATACTAGGTTAGAATGTAATTGAGTTCAGTTATATCGTAACATAGAATAACAAAAACACAAAATCCAAGTTACGTAACCAGTAGTCTTGACCGCCGAAGTTGTCATCTATAACTGCGATTTAGTCTATATACGAGTATTGATCGGTGTTTATATCGGAATATATGCATAGTGGACGGCTAGGTATGATTCATAAGATTATGGGAAATAGTAAATAGCAAATAGTTGTTAGATGAAGAGAACTTGGTTATCCTTTTATTTTTAATATTTCTATTTTAACGTTGTTGTGAAATTTGTTCGATCATAAAAACATTTGAAATATCTTAACCACGTTTAATTCTTTATCTTATCTGTCAATCGATATAAAGTGTTCTAATAACTTTATTTTTTATTTGGAGCTCAGTATGACCAATGGTAACTTTGGTGAGCTGTTAGGAATGAATTAATGCATCAGTGACCGGATATTTGCATTGTGCCAAGTTTATAGCGGAACGAGATTTCAACAGATGGTCCAAGGTCATGACCGCTTCGCTGACTATCATAAATACTTACAAAAACATGTAAAAATATACTACTAATATACAACTACATACCGCCACTTAGACTATCGTGAAATAAAAGAGGAGTTATAACACAGATATATAAATAAAAAACGCCAACATATTGAGGTGTATAATTTGATTTCAAATCGAGTCTCTAGAATAAGGATGAAATTAAAATGTTTTTATTTTAATTTTCGCTTATATCTTTAAACAGGTTTCATAGAAAGTAAGTATAATCAGATAACGTTAGTTTTATGGTTCTCTGGTACGAGAATTTGTTTTGCAGATTTAAGACTTACAACAGCGATGTTACGTCAGTATTGCAAAATGTAAATTTTTAACCGACTTCATATGACAGGTACACATATCATTAGTACACATATTTTATGTGTGGTATACAAAGATATATACATTACTGTGAGTGGCCATTTTCTAAACATGTCAAAAAATATAAGTTTTTTATAATATAACGGCACAGGTGAAGGTCGTGCTTATTTTTATCGTTTCAAAGTTCTTTGACCCAACAATTAACCTGTATTTAATAATATCGACCCAATTGATACAGATACATTTGCTCTACTCTAGTTATAGAGTCTGTAAATTACCGCAGTGTAGATAAAACGATATATTGACGAAGAATTTTGTTCTTTTTTAAGCAAGAGTGATATATCCAATAAGATTACAAACTGCTAATACCAATTAAATAATAGTAAAAAACAAAAACAAATGATGCCATAAGTAATTCATGCACAAAATTTACTGGCTTATAAATTGACAGTAAATTTTTACAGAGGCATTCCAATCAACACCATGAGGAAATTTTAAAATTGAAATTACTGCGAAATTATTAGCTCGAAGTTTCAATTACAATGAAACGTTCAATCAAATCAAACGATACATATTAAAATTCGTTTATATTTTAAAGAGATAATGTCGTTCAAATCGTTTATTCCATAAATGGCTGAAAGGAATGCCAATATTTAATGTGTAAAGTTTTCGTCTCTTTATACAGCGTGTCGTTACCATCGCGACAATAAATGAACACACGTCTAACGCTACTTGCCAATAATCATAAAAAAATATTAACGTTAAACAAAATCCATAATTAAAAAAAATACTTTTCAAACAAACTAATTAATTAAAAAAGAAAAAAAAATTTAACATCCTATACAACTCGCGCCACAGCGTCGTATTACAAGCCTCTCTGTCTAACTCTGTCTATTCATATGCTTTGTGACCTTTACAAATGAACCTTACGTTACGCTTTTATAGGTAAGGGTGTTCTAAAATTCTTTGTTTTGGAAAATTTAATAACTCTGTAAATATTGATGTTTAAAGAATTTAAATGTTTAATACAACTTTAAAAAGTTATCCCCTATATGTGTGTTCATTTATTGTCGCGATGGTAACGACACGCTGTATATTTCCTTTTTTTCGTCATTAAGACGACTCACCTAGTTGGCTGTTTTCCTGGGCATCTTCGCATCTTCCAACTACTCTGATAATGGCTCTTCCAGCCAGCCTGGCGCAGATCATCATCGCCGGAGCCCGAGGGTCCACTTCCTCAGCCTCGGCTGGCATTCTTTCACCACCATCGTATTCAGTCGGGGGCCTCATCACTGCACTTGAGTTTCCGCTATCACTGCACTCCTCAGTCCGCGTGGGCACTTAATTTTTCACAGTCTCACGATTTTTTTTTCTTGCGACCATGCACCGCTCCGAAACGCAATGCGTCTGGGTGAGCGGCGATCACCTTTAAAATTCGAACGCAATAACCAAACCCAGCCTTTATATCGTCGCCAAAACAAAGAAGCGTGCTAACGGAGGGAGAAAGCAACAATAACAAATAACCGTCTCACTCTAGCCATTTGCTGCGTAGTTTGCACGCAGGCTGATTTCTCGCGGAAGCACGAGGTAAATTTATCGCGAACGTCCCATCACAAAAGAATTAATGCTCCCGCTTAAATAAACGATGCTCCCAGAAATGTTAAAACCCTTAAAACCCTTTGTCATATTAAGGAACGACGCGATCTCAAGAAGTCCGTTATCAGACCGCCTTTGTTCATTCTAATCAAATATATTATCTTCGATGAAGTAGGTATGCGATTGAGTAAATTAACGAATGTAAAATGATGAAATATGAGCAAAACTAAATTTTCGAAATCTATGCACTCCAATATTATCAACAGCTATATTAGTTTAGTTGCGAAGCGAGTTTATTAAAATTGGCCTTCATTTTAATGATATAATGTAATAACCAAACGAAGGAGAAAAACTGCAGTGCAAATTGTATTCTTAACGAACTTGAATAAATATTTCTGTCAATTAACTGAATAATTAGATTTAATTTGTAAAAGATACAAAAAAACAAATATCTTGCATCGTATTTACGTTCAACACAATCAACTACTAAGTAACAATACAATCACAGTACTAAGTTAATTGTGTAACTAAAATCCATATTTCCGATAGCGATACTTAATAACGGAATTATATTCATGAATGTCGATGATTCGAGTGGTTAAAAAGCTTACTTTATTGCGTGTCGTGTGTTCGACTCCCAAGCAAGTAATTTTATGATCTTCAGATAGTTCTCGATCTGGGTTTATCGGTGAGAAAATAGTGCAACAAGTTATATTATTCCAAACATTTTTGTTGTCAAATGTACAAATGATATAAAAATGAACAAGACCATGAAACAGTTTGATCATTTGTCGACCTTTCCTACGCAATTGCTTAATGTTCATAGCGATATCTCTTTGTTTTTAAGTTCGTTGAGCGAATTCTAATTACTTTGGATTATTTGCGTCAACTGACGTCTATAATGTCGTCGTACGATCGACGAGCATATGTTTATTAGCGTCTCGGCTAAACAGAGATGCAAAATTTCAATTTTAGCAACCTTGAGCGCTTGCCAAAAATTGTAACCCCAAGTCCCGTGTTCCCGATCGAAATCCGTCCGTCTAATAACGGAAGGCAAACAAAAACAGCCGTGTTGCGACTGTGCCTTGCCACATGCGAATCTATTTGTCGCAAACAGCACGTTGAACCAATTAATTTTGTACTGTCCGAACATCCTTTATAATTGTTATACATAAAGACAATTAAAAGATTATTTCTATATATTATACCATTTTAACACGATCGAACACGTGTATTGCAAACATTTTGAACTCTAGATCGAAACGAAAATGGATAATGTTAACAGATTTAATATCGAATTATAAAACAAGAAAACTTGGGCTTCATAATGGTAGAAATTTCTTAGAGTTAATATCTTAATTCATATAATGATTATTTATACTTTTCACTGTGCTTATATAAAGATTAACGTTCTCTGGAATCCTATCGACCGTCTATGTTGATTTGATCTCGATGCGGAAAAGTTAATGACCTCTACTTGAAGATGTTTGATGTGGTACTTATAACCCTATATACAAATAAGTTTTACACGAAGATTCAAAAAACAAAAACTAAAATATTTCAAATCATATTTTAAATGTAATATTCGTATGTAGCGTTTTAGTATAAACTGAGTTTAGTCGTGAGCTCAGCGTCCAGGTGCTAGCTTTTAATTAATTATACTCGGGCAACCTTAGTTCGAATCCCGGCATAACACCAATGAAAGTGTTAATTTTAAGTGTTGACACATCACGAGCTCAGCGGTTAAGGAAAATATCGCGAGGAAATCTGCATATTTTCGATGTAATGAAAAAAAATTTCGAAGACTGTGAATTTAATCCGCAGTGGGGTCACGGGGTGGACTATACCCTCTGTACAGAGGAGGCCTTTGTCCTTGATTGGGAAATGTATAGGCTGATACCATAAATAAAAAAATATTACAATTTCCAATCATTTAAACAAGTAAATTATTATTCTGGCCAATTTGTTCTACGCCTAATAAGATATTGGGTAATGATAAGTATGCTAGAAGGAAAAATGAGATTAATATAATTTCTTTAACAAAATAATAATAAAAAGTATATAAGAAATCACTACAATTTATCTTACTATAATATTATAAATTGATGACTTCGTGGCGCTGTTGTCAAGATATTGGCTCCGGCACCGTGTGTCGTGGATTCGATTCCCACACGGGACAACTATTTGTGTGACCCACAGATAATTGTTTAGATCTGGGTGTTTTTCCACGTGTAGTTTTATTTGTGTAATGTCCTTACAACATAGCTTAATGTTATCCTGAAGGGAATATTAAAAAAAAATATTATACCCTAAAATGAAAAACGATCAGTTGTCATCAGTACAATCAGTTTCAACTATTTGATAATGCCATTTCGGCTTCTATTGTTAGCTCAGTCTTTGTTACTAAGACAATAGACTACACTACTAGCATGGTCTTCATTTAGTCTTCTTTCGTTAAACAAGGTCAAGCAGTGACTCTCAAAATTTTCCGCCATAATGCAATCACTAAAGACACATTTCGCAGAATTTTTTTCACTGGCGCGGTAGTTCGGGTCGATCCTTTGTGCTATTTCAGGAAAATTTGGACGCGGGCCAACTGCCTCTCCAAACTGCGTTGTACGCGTTTTACCACGTGCTTGGGTCTTTGATCCGTCGTTTTAAAGGTGTACCAATATAGGACCTCAGTGTTTGTTGAGGATATGGTAAATTCATTGCTTTATGAAGACATTTTCACCGCTTACGCAGGCATGAACTGTGAATTTTCTTTGTGTAGACAAAATCCAGACGTGTGAAGCGTTCATTTCTAAATTTAGTGAATTGTTATATTAATATTGTTTCGCAGTTGGCTTGTTTATTCTCAAACCGATTCTAGTTATTGTAGTAATAAAAACAGCAATGATTTGTATATTATTTTAGGTTTTGGTCATATCTGTACTTTTGTTTGCATTTAAAGGAGTTGAAGAAAAAGAATAAAATCATAATTAAAAAGTAAAAGAATAAAACTGACGTACTAGAAAATGTTTCCTTGTTGACAGTTCTTGAAAAAACAACTATAAAAGTTATAAATAGGTTTACTATTTTGGGAACGGCAATGATGTCTTTTCTGTTCGTAAATCTGAAATAATGAATCTAGAGAAACAGCCATTTCTAAGAGTTCCTTGACTTGTTTTTTATACAGAGATCCTTCACTAACTGCATTGATACTGACACTGACATTGATTTCACTCGTGACTCCTAAATAAATAAGAGCCATTTAAACAAAATTTCCGCCAAGTTTAAAAGATTATGAGTTGGGAAAACTCAAAAGATTCAAAAGTAGCCTCTGATACAAATAGTACAGAAGTTTAACACATCTATTTCCAAAGTTGGGAAGCTGCATTCAACTAGTTCAAGGATTATTGAGATAAGAGTAGAAACTCTTCAAATAAACGTCACCGGGCTTCCAGATTAAGATAATCGAAATCGTTACCTTTACACAATTACATCAGAATAGATGAGCTGTACTCATTAAAAATATAATTTAATCGTTTTTTTATAACTACCATTATGTATTATTAAATATTTCCAGCGGTCTTGTCAATTCAGTCACGAGATGGACTCCTGTAATCCTTCTAATTTAAAACGGCCAAGTCGATTAAGTTTTTGATATAAACATAATTATTCACACTGTCTTAACTAGATAAAACGTTTATTCTACGAATTATTAGCCAATACAAAGTAGGTGCGTTGGTTTAATTTAGATCTTGTACATACATAAGTATTTTTGTCAGATAAGAATACATTATACGTATTCTTTTTTCACTCCTAACTAGTACAATGTTTATGATGGTAACAAAAGCGACTTCACCACTCTGACTTCTATAGAGCAATGATTAAAGGCCCATTTACACGATGCCATTTTCTTGAACATACAAGAGCAATAATTGAATGCAATAAATTGCGCGCAATAATTGTTTAGACCATTTCTTGTTTAGACCATGCAACTCATTTATTGCTTCAATTTAATTGTATACAACAGCCAAGAAACTGGCACCGTGTAAATGGGGCTTAATTCTTCTCCAGAAGAAGGCCACGTGATATTCAGGCGGAAAACCAAACGCCTGAAGATTGTTTTATGTTTTTGCTTGTTTTTTAAATGAAACTCGTTTACTGTTTCTGTTTTCAATTTAGATTTTTAATTCCGGACGATTCAAACCCTTTCCAGCGTTCATGGTCACGGGACAGGTTGTTCTGACACTCTGCTATGACGCAAACTTGACGGAAAATATCAACTTCATGGTAAATAAAAGACTTCTTTTATTTACCATGATGACCCTTTTTTTTTCATGGGAAAAATCCTTTATGGATCCCCTGCCACTGGATGGGAGAAGTGGCAGCTCTGTCGCATCAGCCAGGGACACGGGAACACGTGAACGCAATCTTCCGCGACCCCGGCGCGATTATGGCCCGTTTAGGCCTCCTCTACTACATAGTGCTGTGCCCGTGCAATTGGCACAGCACACGTACACGAGCCCCATAATATGCGACAGACACTCCCATGTCTGCCGCTCATGGTCACACTATCAGGGGGGAAGGTTGCGCGCGTAGGCCAGCCTCCTGCGCCCTGGTCTCCGGCGGCGGATTTCAAGGGTGGCAGTTGCCTCCCTTTCTCTCTCCGTGGCCTCCTTCCGGGTGATAACGTCCTCGCAGTATGCGAGGACAGCACCCCACGTACCATGATGACCCTACCATACCAGAGTTTTAATCATGGAGTAAAGTTATTTTAAGATATACATATATGTACGAGTATAAAGATTTCTATCTTTTTGATGGTTAGTTTTTCACGGACCTCCACAAATTTTCACTTATTACGGGCTTCAATCGTACCAGGAACCCTCAAGCGTTCGTTTTGATTTTGGTAACTGAAAATTTGAATTTTTTAACGTGATAACTTATCCAACATCCGCTTGCAGATGGGATGACAACCTTTATAAAAAGTTTTCACGGTGTTAGGGCCACACAGCAGCCTCGGCTACTGCACGAATGGGTAGGCTCGTCCGGGTAAGTACCACGATCTCAAGAAGACCGGCGTAAAATGGTAGTATAATACTTGTTTTGGGTTTCGTCTGGTGAGTGAGGAGCCCAATTTTCAAAAGGTTGTCAACGCATCTGGAACCCTCGGGTGTAGCAGATGTCCATGGGCGGCGGTATTAACTTAAAATCAGGTAAACCATCGGCTCGCTTTTCACATAAAAAAGTAGGCACCGGTTATTTTACTCACCAGGCGAAACGCGAAAGTATAACACGTCCACTTCCACCACACACCACACTGGTCTCCTGTGTGGCCGTGGTCGTCCCCGCATGAGTCTGCCGATTCGTACAACAGCACTAGTTACTGCGGGGCTCTACCACATTGGTGGCGATACCGACGCTACGTTTTCCTGAACACGGTCTCGACTCAAGAACTCGTTCGATCCATTGGCTGTTGGACCCACAAACAATGTGTCAGAAGCAGTTACATGGCCCAGCTACACAGGGCCGGATTTAAGGGAGGGCCACTGGGCCCCCACAAGTCTTCGAAAAAAAAATTTAATTCAGACTAATAAACAATAGTAAACAACTTTTCCTTTCATATTTTTTTTGCATTTTACTTTTACCTACAGTACTTTGTACAAACATGATTACATTCAATATTAACAGAAATCAATAGAAAATAATTCCGGTTCAAAGGGCCTCCACTCCTTTGTTGCCCCGAGGCCTCCAGGCCTCTAATCTGGCCCTGGCTACAGTAAAAGGTGTAGGTGTTAAAAAAATAAAAGGTGAATGACATCGAATGATATTATATTGATTGGTATCAAGTGGGGGCGTCGTCGGCGCGTTGCTGCGCTAGCTGTGCTGCGGCGCAGCAGTGCAGCATTAGCGCTGTGAGGGCGCAGGCTCGGCCCTCCCCTCCCTCTTCCGCCGCACTCGCGTCTTCCGCCGACAACTCCTCGCGGACAGCCTGAAGCTGAGAACCGATTTGCTTTGACTATTGATATTACTTTGACTGCTCTCACGAATTCGAATTTATAAAAACTTACGCCAGAATAATGAAGGAACAACCAGCTATTACTTGAATTATTACGAATTAGCCGTGATAGATGAGTGTCCAGGCGCTCGCCTTTAACTCAATACACTCGAGATTTTTAATTTTAAGTGCTGATTTATCACGTGCTCAGCGGTGAAGGAAAATATCGTGGGGAAACCTGCAACTTTTCACTTCTTTCCTTGGACATCCATAAGTCGAGTGGGCGCGATAGCATCCCTCCGATCGTGTTGCAGACATGTGTTCTGGAGTTGGCATCGGTTTTGAGGCGTCTTTTCCGGCTCTCCTATACTTTAGGCGTAGTCCTGAAATCCTGGAAGACCACTTTAGTGCACCCAATCCCTAAGAAAGGCAACCACTCGCATCCAACTACAGGCCTATAGCCATCACCTCCTTGTTCTCAGACCTTTTGATTCTTTATCCAAGATAATGGAGTCCCATATTAATTGCCGTGGTGGACTATGCCCTCGGCACAGAGGAGTCCTTTGCCCAGCAGCAGTAGGCCATGTATAGGCTGTTACTTTACTTTTATTACGTATTAATTACTAGTACTCGTATTTGTTCGCCCCTTGGCCCTTTTTGACAGTAAGGATGAGCTGCAGCCGAGTGAATAATTGATCTCCCATCGGTCTCTACTAAGACTTGTCTGAATGAATCGAGAAACTTAAGCATATTTTTGCAATCTGATATTTGGAATGAATCTGATACGAAATGGTATAAATAGACGATGTTGGATGAAAGACGATGAAATATTGGATGTCGGATGGTAAGCATCATGTTTAACCCATGAAAATATTAGTCTCTACCATATCTCTCTCTATCGTCTTTCTATTAAATATACAATCAGTGCGAGGCAGCTCAAGATAATAATATGCAACCTAAAACCTATCATTCAGAATATCGAGCCATTATGAATAATCTTACGTATAGATAGATGTTACATGTAAGATGCTCCCAAGTAATTGAGAAAAGATTGGGTTAATTATGATACTACAGATCATACCGGAAGCAGGTTTATACGATGGGGCTAAGTAGATTGTAAAGTCGATGGACGCAGGTGGCTCAGGATCGTGTTTCTCGTCTATCTGGGCAGTCTGTGAGGGCGGCCTGTGACTAGCAGTGCTCAATCAGGATTAAATGAAAAAGTAGAAAAAGGCGCCGGCGGCCAAAGAGAGGGGAGTTGCTCCCTGAGAAGGGGCTATCAAGGCAGCTTTCGCTGGCAGGGTCGTGGAAGTGTGCGGAAGCGTTTCTGTGGCCCTGCCGATATGCGACCGGATTTTAGTCGGTGCTAGTCCGACATAACCCGTCCACGTCCCCGCGAGGGCTCATGCGGATTCAGTACCCGCACGTTAAAAAAATCAAAGAGGCGCACGGGGCCCTTTACCATGTCGTGGATCTGCGCGGCGGTGAGCTTGGCGGCGAGCTCAGGCGCGGAGTCCCTGGCGGCCGCCAGCAGGGCGTCGGGCGGGAGGCCGCTGCGCAGCGCCGGGCGCAGCATCGTGGCCACCGCCGCCGCCGCGCCCGCAGCCCCCGCGCCCCGCGCCTCCCACGCCGCCGCGCACCCGCCGAACGGCGCCGCCGCCTCCAGCGACTGCCTCCTTTGCGGTACAAGGGCTGATCGTGACAAACGCCGACCGTCGCCGCGCACGATTCCACGGGGGCGCCACGCAGCGGCCTCCGCTCCGCACGAACGGGCCCGTAGGGCGAAGTGCTCGAGATAGGGAGGCAGTGATAGTGCATTGTGGAGGCGGTTGGCGGGAGTTAATAAGTGATTTGCCGTGAGGAGTTAATTGAAGTAGCTAAGCGTCTATCGGGTAAAATCGAGCAGGAGGCGTTAAGGTGAAAAAGCAGAATGTCGCCAACGGACATCTGCAATCGGAAGAGGATGAGGCTAAATTAAGTTGAAGTACCTGGGGCATTCACATCGTGAGCGAAGGCCCTTTATGCCTCCGTTAAGTCGCCGCCGCGGAAACGCAAATATGACTACTTTTTACTTTACAACGTTCATCTCTGAGCGTGGTGCTTCACGGGGTTCCGTTCATCCAAAAGCAGAAGCTGTTGCGTGACTCGTAGTTGCAAACCACTATGGATGTCTCACCTGGGTGTATGGCTGGGCGATGGCGGCAAGGAGCGCGAGGAGGCGTTGGGTTTCGGCGCCGACAGCGAGTGGGCGGACCCAGCACGCCGAAGCCCTGCCACCAATGCGCTCATTGCACCACCACCTGTTTGTGGCAAAAACTAACATCAGCTGACGTCACGGATCCCATCCGTCCATGTTCCATACATTCGGATTTTAAAATTCAGTTAGGGCTGCTAGTATGTGGGCTCGTGACGTGTCCTGTGCCAATTGCACCGGCACAGCACCATCTAGTGGAGGAGGCATAAAGAGGCCATAGTCGCGCCGGGGTCGCGGAAGATTGCGTCCACGTGTTCCCGTGTCCCCGGCCGTTGCGACAGAGACAGGTGCAACGTAGGTTTTTTTAGTTTCTCCCCGGGACTCCCACATACCCTTGCCACTCCCCCGATCCGATGGCAGGGGATCCATAAAGGATTTTTCCCATGGAAAAAAAAGGGCTGCTAGAATGTAAAATATGCATTCGTGTCATTTTATTTTCTTACATTCATAAAGTTTTTAATGAGTTTAATCATCAATATTAAAGTTGATTTCTAAAATTACAAAGCCCAATTCCAAATCAGTTCAGTTTTGTATCTCTTTCATTTATTAATTTTTTTATCGAAAAGTGATTAAAAGTGTAATGTTACTTTCGAGAAATATAAAAATTAGAATTGACATATGGCAGCCCTACTTAAAATTACAGATGGACTAAATAATGGGAGAATAAATGCAGGTAATAATATTTCTGGAATGGTGCAAACACTGGAGGGAGTTCAAGGCGTATATCTATGAATTTACTAACAAGTACGTACGAAAGTAACATAAACAGCAAAAAACTTTACGCCAATGTTAGTGTTGAATGCAAAATATTACACAACGAAAATATCGAAATACTAATATTACTCATATATCATTATGGCACTTATTCATTCATTTCCCCGTACTTTTCCGCGAATCATTCCGGTCATGCTCTAATAAACTATCACTGTAAAGGAAAGAAGCCCAAACTGCATTTGCTTAAAACGTATAATCGCTTGGAAGAGGAATGGTCTATTTCACAAATCAAGGCCTGCACGATTGTCTACTATTTGGGTGCGTAAGTGGGGATGAGCACACTGTTACAAGATTTTAAACAAGTTGGTAGATAAGTTTGAGATAGGTTGCATTGTCTTTAATTTCTCAACGCGAATCATTATCCTTGAAGAACATGCCAACCAGACCGTTTATTTCGAGAGTTACGATTTTAACATAGCTCCGTTAATTAGAAATTAAAAAAGCATGCAATTAGTCTACCAACGCATTGCGTGATATATTCGGGTCAAACAGGGTTAAGCAACAATTCACACATATAGATGAAAATTACTTTTTCTTTATGGAAAATTACACATTTATTTTCATACGCCAAATAACATAATTAACGTGATATGGGAAATTTCTGTCGCCGAGTTTGTATACCACGTTTAATTAATTCGTTTTTAGTATCTTAGTAAATTAGACAAATATTATTCCGGAAAGATTACAAGTCTCAGCCGGTCAACATCTGTCCAATTATAACAATATTTAAAGGCGACGGAAACACGGCTAGCATAAAATATTTGGCTAAAGGGAAGTATGACAAACATACAAACAACATAATGTCTCACAATCAACACAATCTTCTGACGCAGAATGATTCCAGGGAGAGTTTGTACATCTAATATAAATAAATCTGCTTCAATCTGTGACGTATCGTGTTGGATGATTCCGGATGGGTTAATAATGCGTAAAACTTCTCTTTCATCAGCATTCGAATAGTTCGTCTGCGCAACAAACAAAAACACATTTTCGTTTCAGAGAAATAGTAGAATCTCTTCCAACAAAACATAATTACAATAATACTGTAGTTGGTTCAAATTAGAAATTAAGCACGTTGAATAATTCTTTGGCGAATTTCAACAGCGTCTAAAAAATATAATATATCATTAATCGTGTGTTCATTGACAGTTCAATCTAATTTAAGGTCAACAAAAAAACTGATTTAATTTAACAACGACGTATATTAAACATATGATGTTGTCATTTCAAAATTGTAGTAACCTTCCTCATGTACGTCTAGCGAGTCTTTTCTGTCTGTCTTGTCTTCTTCATCGGAATCAGGATCTGGCATCGAGTCTGGCTCAGTCATAATCAGTTCCGGAGGAGAACACCCACTTCCAGCAGAAGGATCTGAAAATTACAGTTTTTAAGAAATCCTAGAATTTCTTAGTAAGGATAAGTTTAAAAACAGTCAGTCAATCAGCCAATTATTGAGTATCCTAAATTGATTTTTATCGTCAATAAAATATGTAGAAGGACCGTTCCGAATTTCTGTTTGTTACAATTTTCAAATTTCAATTAATTTTATTCAATAAACGCACTGAGTACTTTTGATGTCATTTAATTGAATTAAAACTAAGAAGTTTTTAAACTTCGTGGGCATTACGTAGATTGTTGAATATGAAGTGTTCCAATTACGACAGGTCTTCCCGCGACCGCGGACACCGATGCCACAGATAATAAAATATAGAATGACGTAAACATAAAATAATTGCGTAAGTTACGTCTTCTAATAAAATAGAATAGTGTCGAGGCACGCCACAACGTTCAACGGAATGTGGAACGGTCTTTAGTCTTCCGCGTTGTTCACGGTAGCAACTGTCACGCAATGTCCAAGTTTAAACTTTATGGTTAGCCGCATTGTTGGTAACTTTTTACTACTACCTGTGGAAAGTTTTTAATCTAGATAGTTTTAGAGATTAAGTAATGAATGCTAGATATCAATTAGAAATTCCTAAAGTTAATTTTTTTTGTTCCCCAATTTAAAGAAAAAAGACATATTATAATAATTAGATAATTAGATAAATATATTTTAATAACTGGATAAATAGTATATTTAAATAAAATCTCTAGGAATATCGGATTTTACAGATATAACATTCTGAAATCACTACTTTCAGGTTAAAGACATTTATTTATCACAAAAAGAACATTAAACGTGATAAACATATAGTAGTCTTAAATATATATATGACACAAACAACAGTCTCAGACGGATAACAGTGCTTATAAATCTAAGCAGATAGTAATTTGTTTAATAGGCGTTTTTTGAACAATGCAATGGTTTTACATGCTTTAATTTCCTCAGGCAGTTTGTTGTAAAGTTGCGCCACCACAAATCACTTTCATACCAACAAGTCCATTTTTTTATTAACGGAAAACAAAACCGACTTCAAATATCTCACTCTGTAGTCATTTTATAATTAATTTTCAGGATTTCCCTGAATATCTCCGGAGCCTAAGATCCAATACCGATGAAATTAATATGGGACCACATTGGAAGCACTAGCTTTCAAATAAAAAAAGAATCATCAAAATTTCACTCAGTCGAAAGTTCTAAGCTAACAAATATAAAAAAATACAGTCCAATTGAGAACCTCCCCCTTTTTTGAAGTCGGTTGAAAATAATTTGTAACGTTCTATCAAGAAATAAGACTTTTTTTTATTTACAAAGGGTCGTTCTCTATATGTTCGCTAGGAAAGGTCGAGGTAGTAACGGGTGATGCAAATCCTTTCTAAGAATAAAATCCTTCATCAACCATTGAGGACGATATAATTACATTAAAAACTTGATTTCAGACGTAGTCTTTATAGCTCTTAAAAAGTCAGTGACCTCGAAACCCGTCCGCAAAAACTTGGCGAAACATCAAAAGCCGATATAAAATTGGAAATGATGTAAATGTGCGCCCTTTTGAGGTAAACACGAGCAAATCACTTACATTCTTAAATTCTTAATGTGATTTTCAAATAAACTACCCAGACTCCTTTTCGTTTCAGATTCAGTACCTAATAAGAAAAAATCATTCATCACTTCTACATAAATTATTGTCAGTTCTGCGGCAATGGAAAACGTAAAATATATTTCTTTTAAATAATTTTTACGGCTAACATATTTTGGTCGCGGAAGATTGCGTCCACGTGTTCGCGTGTCCCCGGCCGATGCGACAGGGACAGATGAAGTCCCACATACTCCTGCCACTCCCCCGATCCAGTGGCAGGGGAATCCATAAAGGATTTTTCCCACGGAAAAAAGGCCTACCATATTTTAAAAAAATAAAATAAAAATATTAAATGATAACCAACGAAATCAAAATATTAATTAAGCACATAATAGATAATAATCTAAGGATCTTAAAACTGTGAAAAAAATATTTGTAATTTGTTAAAAATATTGTTAAATGACCACACATTCAACTTGGGATATAATATACAGGAATAAACCAATAATGATAGAAAAATAAAAGTTGTCAGAAGAAAATTGTAAAACAAAAAAATATAAAACAAGTTTGCGAACTGTTCGTACTATATAGCCTAATAATTTTATCATTCAAAATTGGCAGCATTTTAGCATTCAAAACAGCTTTATTGGTGTGTCAGATTTCGGATATTAAAAAAATTAATAAACTAAAATTCGCCACACCGTCAATCCGAGAAAGCAAAAAGATAAAGCAAGTAAGTAACAGCCTATACATGTCCCACTGCTGGGCAAAGGCCTCTTCTATACAGAGGGTATCAGGGCATAGTCCACCACGCGGCCCCAGTAAAAATAAATTTTAAATGATAGAGAAAAATCATTAATGAATTAATCAACAAGCAGAATTCACCGGTTACTTATAGATGTCGAAAAAAATAATGAAACAGTGTAATTTTCATGTTAATTCTGCTCCTATTTCTGGTTGGTCATAAAAAAACCACGATGGCTAAGGCGGGAGTTTCGCTGCTTCGCCTTAACCTTCTAACCTAACCTGTTCGAGTCGGGTGACTTTCATAGTGAAAATAACAAGTTTTAAATATTTTATTTTTTTCGAAAACTATAAGCGTCTGGCATTCCGCTTCTTGATTAATTTATAAGAGACTTTTCTCTATCGTTTAAAATTTATTTTAATTGCAATATGCGTTCGTCAATGTGTCAAACTTTATACCGGTCAAAACTTAACACTTGATAATATAATAGCGGAAAAATAAGTAAATATTGCTCAGATTTATGAAACGCAAGAAGCTATATTAGGAGCACATAAGGAATAGATCGGAGCGATAAAGTACTTTAGACATTTCTTAAGTTGTTTGCTTAATTTGCAAGACATACTATTTATTAAAAACCGTTAAAATTGTATTCAGACACGTACCTCGGTCTTGCTTTGGGATACATGGCGATGATTCCTGACATTTCGTGACGCACTTTTTGTGGCAACACAAACCGCAGTTTCGGCATTGCATCGCATCTTTCAACCATATCTGCGGAGTAAATAATTGCTGAATTGAAAAGTTCATAAAGTGGGATCCGGTTACCTCACTTACCAGACGAAACGCAGAAGTTTGACACTTTCACTTCACATCGGTTTTCTGTGAGGTGGTACTTGCCCGGACGGACCTGCCTATTCGTGCAACAGCCAAGAGACTGTTGCGTGGCTCTACCACTCTAAAAATGTATTCTGTACTAACTGCCTGTGTTACTTTTATGTCTGGTATACGGTGTCATATTTACCACCTCACATTAGGACATAAAAAAAACACAGGAAAAATAGATGGTAAAAGACCTAGAGGCCGTACTCCTAAAAGGTGGGCGGATCAAATTTCAAAAAACCTGGAAATCCCCATACGCGCCGCACTCCACTAAGCGACGGAGCGAAACCGATGGAGACAGCTCGTTGACCAATTAAATAAGAGTCACGATCCTCAGCAGTGAAGAAACGACTAAGAAGAGAGAGAATAGGACATAATATGCACGGGTGATATTTCTAAACTTATGGGTTCCAGTCGCATTGCCAACCTATTTAAAAGTGGGCGCCGACTTCCCGACTTAACGGACGTAACGCTTCACGCGCGTCTCCCTTGACGCCGCGGTGCCCCAAACGAGCCTGCCTATTCGTGCAACAGCAGGCTGCGTTACCCTACCACAGTGAACTACTATTATGTTCACGATTTCAAATGGTAACGGTGAATATGTAAGCTCTGAACTCATTGCCTTCTTGTTGCAGAAATCGCACTGGGTGGATCTGTGGAAGTGCGTGCGGACGAAGTCGTGCGCGGCGCGCGCCGGCTTGTGCGGGCGCGGCGGCGTGGCACCGCGCGGCGTCGAGCGCGGCGCGCTGCGAGCGCCCCCCGCCCCCTCCCACTCCCACCAGACCAGCGCGTCGCCGAAGCACAGGCACGGCTCGAAGCCGGCGTGCGAGGCCAGCTTGTGACTCTTGCTGCACAACGGAAGTAAAGGCAAAGTATCAGCCTATACATGTCCCAATGCTGGGCGAAGGCCTCCTCTGTACAGAGGGTATCAGGGAATAGTCCACCACTTCACGTTCACTGCGTATTGTCGGATTTCACATATCTTAGAATTTTTTATTAATTCAGCACTTAAAATTAGCAATTTCATTGGCACACTGCATAACGGACTCGCAGTGATTCTGAGGTCGGCAAACGGCACCTGATGTTAGGTAGTTGCCGATGTCCATGATTATGTGCATCCCCGTGGAGTTGTAGTTGCCTGTTATGTAGTGGGCACCAGATACCTCAATCACAAATTATGTGCACTGTGTTCTGTCAGGGCGTAGTACCTCTCCGAGTCTGCCCATATGTTGTTATAGCAGAAGCTACTGCAATTATATCATAGATAACAAAAAGCCTCTCCCTAGATTTGTTTGTAATTTTGACTAGTTTCATAATTAGTCAGTTTTAGTAATTTAGTTTTTTTTTCTTTTTTGTTGTGTGCGTCCTTTTATTTATAACTAAATGTATTTTCTTTCTTCTTTCTTTCTTTCTTTCTGATATGTAAATGTAATATGTAAAATAATTACATAATGGAAAGTTTTGAAGATTATCATCTACTCATTATAACTTCAACACGTTAATTATGTAACGATTAAAATGTGTGACATGTTAAACAATGCCCAGGAGTTGAAAGCGTTGCGCAGTATGACTGACGATATTTAAAGTTTTTGTCTTACAACTCGTAAGTGTCTTGTCCTACATACAAGTTAAAATCTTAATCTAAATTACCATAATGTACTTGTTCCTTTGCCATATTGACGAAAGACACTTTCCACTTGTCCATTCGTTGTTACAAACTTGTTATTATGTTTATTTCAATTAAAAGGCTCTTTTTAAAATACAGCAGCTGTACTAAATTCAGTACAGCTATTATAGATTCAATAGGCACAATAATTTCTTGTATTTACGCGATTATATATTACTAAATTAAGCTATGTTCACTGATTTTTCGCGTTTATTTTTGACGTTTCGAACCATTTACAGCGTTCATGGTCACGGGACAGTCTGTCCACCAAAACCAAAACTAAGCGCGATAAATCCGTAAACATAGTTTTATTCAATAGGCACTATAAAATATACGCACCTGAATTTTATGTCTACATCGGGTGGGAGGAATTGATATCTCTTCGTATGGTGCGGTACCGTTGAATCTTGGCATTCGGACAACAAAGCCGCCAACGGTATATTCAAATATCCCAACAACACCTCGTCTTTTTCACCCGGCACCGTGGCCCATACGTTGATGTTCAAATACTTATGGTTTTCGTTCAGTTTAAAATCAGTCTCTTCATCAAATGGTATGATTGGTTTCAGCTGGACATTTTTCGTCCAGAACATTTGGCATATCTCGACGTGCTCACTCTGCCTCGGTCCGCCCGTCTCGAATATTTGTTCTTCATCATCCAGCACAGTTTCGGGTTTTTCTGGTTTGCATTCGGAGGAGTCAGTTTTAATTATTGGTATATCCGGGTGTTTTACAATTTTGTTGACAACGGTAGCTTGTCTAAGGGGTGTGCTGGCGCCTGATGCTGGTGGGGTGCTGCCAGCGGAACTATCGGAAGACTTATTTTCCACGGAGCATCTTCGCTTTCGCAGACCGAAGTTCCCTGGACCAGGTTCAGAAGTCTTCGCAGCCTGTCGCGCTGCTTCAGCTTTCTGCTTTGGTTCAGCTTCATTCGACGGTTCCGTAACTTTTGCGGGTGAGTCAGTTTCCTACATAGAAATAGAGATAGAAGAATTTGTAAAATAATAAGAGAGAATGAAGTAATAATAACATTAAGTTACGGTCTTTGTGATAACCAACCAATAATTTCCATTATAGTGGAGCTTCAGTAAAAAAAGATAACTCTAACATGGCATCAAGTAGAAAACAATAGAATCATTGTAAAAGTTCAAAAACTCGACTTGGAATTATAATTTTGTGTTTCCTTATGTGCACTTACTAATAAATTGTTCCTGGAGGCTGCTGCGCGCATGCTCTGAAGTCTAACACCTTCCATAACCTCAGAGACCCGTCTGAAGGAGAAGTTTGTGCGGAGCCGTCTTGGCTCGTCCTCCCTCCGACCTCCACTCACTGATCCTCCAGTTCCTCCCGTTCCTCCCCGTCGCACTCTTACCGTGACTGCACGACGTTCTACGCTACGTAGAAGTTTGCCCACCTGAAAAGAAGAAAACATTTACTGGTTTTAGCATCAAGGACTGTTTTGCCCGCGAAATTATGTAATGCTCTCTTCTATTAGTTCATTTTAACTGATGTTTTCGCTTTCAGTCCGTAGACATTTAAAACTTCACTAAACAAAACCGACTAAACCGAAGTTATCCCCGACGCACGGCAGAGAAATACACGTTTTTCCTTGCCGCACCACAGTAGAGTTGTATGAGGGATGATTTAGGCCTCGTAACGTAATGAACGTGCTAACCAGAGTGGCATTTCTCCACGTCCATAAGGAGGTACCCATTGAAGTAGATGAAGTGATAACGCGTTTCGGGAGAAGACGTAAAAGAAAAATTGATTTTATTATTTAAATATAGTTATTTTCAAGTACAGTAAGTACATTTTTTACATACATCATAAAATACCTACTTTTTTTATGTATCTATGATTATAAAAATTAATTTATAACTTCTTGTCACTTGACCACGACTATGTGAACGCCCCTGGCACCAAGCTGGATCCACCCTTGCTCGCAAGCTTATTAGGGAACGTTCTTCCCATTTAAAATGACGCACGCATCAGCATATGCGCGGGTATTTGCTCACGCTTGCGTTATTTTAAATTTATTTTTATTTATTTTATTTTTTATTTTTATTTCACACAAAACCCACAGCTCTTTGTTACATTGTACCTACATCTTATGATCTAAAATTATAGCCAAAAACGGATGAATGTCATCTACAAGCACCCGAAGTTCCGACTGTGACCCCCGATGAGCCTTACTATACTAATTTGGAGGCTGAGGCCTGTTAGACCCGCCCTGGAACACGGGTATATTTCTTCTATTTGTCCTCTAACAACAACAGTGTCTGCATAAAATAATAATTTAATAACATTGGAGGCATAAGATGGAAGTTATCTTTGATAGTTATGGAGTCACTGACAAGACTGTACAGCATATATTTTTCGCTTTCAGCAAAGCTTCGTCGGACGACGGGCCACCAGAAACGCTGACACCGCCGTAGCCAATGGTGTTTGATAATAATTATAGATGATGCGTGTCCATACTGCGCGGCGTTTAAAATTGTTCCACTTCACATTATATCACTAAATAGTATAAAACAAAGTCGTCCCGCTGTCTGTCTGTCCCTATGTATGCTTAGACCTTTAAAACTCCGCAACGGAACTTGATGCGGTTTTTTTACTAGATAGAGTGATTCAGGAGGAAGGTTTATATGTATAATACATTGCACCCGTGCGAAGCTGGGGCGGGTCGCTAGTGACATATATAAGTTAATGTATAGTATAATACGGAAAGACATAGCAGTCTATAGAAGTGCAATCTAATTACATCAATTGGTGTAATTTGAGCGCCTGAGTTTCGGTGCCCTATTGTCATATCTACCTAGTATTTTTATATAACGGCCGTAGCTAATACATTCGACATGAAAAGACGTCAACGACAGACCTGCGCGACGTTGTTGATGGGTTTGTTGTCGATGGCGAGTACGACGTCGTCGCGGCGCAAGTCGGCGCGGTAGGCGGGCGACATCGGCACCACGGTGTCGACCAGCACCACGCCCACTCCTTGGCAGCACACCAGACCCAAGGGCCCGGCCACCGCCGGTAGCACAATGTCGAGGACGAGAACGCCCCGCCGAAGCGAAACCTTCACAATACAAATAACATAAATAATGTTGTAGGGCCACGCAGCAGTCTTCTCAGTTGCACGAATGGGCAGATCCGCCCGAGTAAGTAAGTACCACGATCTCACTAAAGGCCAGCTTGAAGTGGAAGTGTTATACTTCTACGTTTCCGCTGGTAAGTGAGGCATCCGGGGCCCATTTTATTAAAAGCTAAACTTATGGGTGTTGCAAATGTTGCGATTATCACTTAACATCGGGTGAACCGCCGTCTCGCTTGCCACCTTCTCACTTAAAAAAATCAACGGCCATTATCCCAAGCCACTCTTTGTCCTAAGGCGAATCTCCTGTTAAAATATCAGAATTACACGAAATTAAAAAATAATTATGTAAGTTTAATCATACAAATGACTTTGCTACAAGAAATAACTATTTATGGTTTTAACCAACTTTTAAACTTAGCTTGAATAATGGTATCTAATTGTGTCTTCTCTTCTAAGACACACACACACACACACACACACACACAAAGTGTAATAATAAATGATACTTCGCAGATAAGTTAAACTTGTCAACCATCTTTGGTGTCGCCTGGCAGACTGTTCGGGAAAAAGCGGAAAGCATTTGAAGATGCTGGATTGTAGAAGGACTATTGATGTGCTTTACATTAATTCTTTTAATTTTTTTGCTACACTGAAATACTTCAGGGTTTGAACGGGGCGCTAAATGATTCAGATACTTACACGGCAAGTACTCCTTATTTATCTATTCACGGGGTTTGAATTTGGAATATAATTTCGATTTTGGCTGTACCTAATGACAAGATTTGTTGTAATATGCTCTTAAAATTTAGGTTTACCCATCCATGTGAATCGACGGCCAGAGCCGCTCTGACGCATCCGTTGCCGCCTGGCCAATGTAAACGGGTTACTTCGACCAATCGAACAGTAAGCCGCCCCTGTGGTGTCGGGCCATCCTCTCCATCCGTGCTGCCTGGTTCCGATTTCGGGAAGAACGGCTTGTATCTGCAGTGAGAATTAAAACAATTGAAAGTTTTATAAAAACGCTAAGAAAATTATAACGTGCTCAGCGGTGAAGGAAAACATCGTGAGGAAACCTGCATATTTTCGAAATAATAACAAAAAAAGTATTTCGAAGATATGTTAAGTCCGCCAATCCGCATTAGGGTGTGTGGGTGGTGTACTTCTGTACAGAGGAGGCCTTTGCCCAGCAGTGGGACATGTATAGGCTGATACTATAAGAAAATTTCAAAAGTCCAGCTAAGCTGATCCAAAATAAAAATAAATAATAAGGCTTGTACAACAATTACAATTTTAGATACAGATACCTATGATTTTGGATTTATTGTTTCTAATATAGAATGAGTTTTCGAATTTCTTCTATACGTTTTCCTGATTAGCATCACATTTAGATAATTTGTATATTGCTCACCGTATCTTGTAAGTGGGAAGCGTATGCCTTTGCGCAACTGCCCGTCTAATATGAGCTGCCACTAACGATGCCAGTCTAGGCTTCAGCTGCCTCCCTTGGAAGCGGCCTCTAACCCGCAGCTCCAGCTTCGGTGGCGTCTCGAAGGCCAGTGCCCAGTGGGTGTACGGAGTTCGGCGGAACATCAAGCGCACATTACCGCTTATGCTCTCGACTGCAATGTTCGATATGACTTATGGTGAGCGGATCTGTTTGCTGTCAGTACATAGAATATTAAAACTTCATCGAACGCAGAACTCGCCGGCTAGCCAGACCAGACGGGCTTTATACGGCCCACCACGTGCAGTAGGGCCGCGCACCCATGCGTGCGTTATCTTAATTGAGAGGAATGTCACCTACGATGATCAATACGGACCGTGACTCCGATGGCTGATAAGGGATTAATCGTGGGCTGGAGGCGGTAATGTTCGATACATTGATGCCTTATTTGTATCTTGACATTATTCTAATTATAATCTGCATAACTCTTATAATTAATAAAATTGTTTAAATAATTATTTTAAGGCATGACAAACTTTAAAAATACATGAATCCTAGTTAGATTAGTTAGCAAGCTGCATTAAATCTTTTGTCCACTACGTTTGCCTTTGGGTTTGAAATTAGGGAGTTAGATGAAACTAGTTTATGCCTCGGATTTTAGCAAATGGCTTAATTTTGTTACAAACAGTCGAACGACTATCATAACAAATGAATCACTGGTTCAGGAATGTACCCACGTCCAGAAAAGCGAGGAACTGCGCTACAATGTAGAATGTTTACTAATTATTTTTTATTGAGCATAAAAGAAGTAGCCAGAGGATTTGCAATTGGGAAACAAGATATTTATTCCGACATAGGCATCTAATGGAGTGCTTACTGCGTAATTTGCTATCAATCACTTTCCACTTTTGAAGGGATATAATGAGATATTATAACATTACTAGCTGACCCGGCAAACCTTGTTTTGTCATGTAAATTTTTCACGAAAATCGGTCGCGCCGTTTCTGAGGAGTTCAATTACAAACACGACAATAAATGCACACACATATAGAGGATAACTTTTTAAAATTGTATTAAACATTTACATTCTTTAAACATCAATATTTATCGAGTTATTAAATTTTCCAAAACAACGAATTTTAAAACACCCTTACGTAAAACTGTAACGTAAAGTTCATTTGTAAAGGTAAGAAAGCATATGAATGGGTTGAATGAATTTAAAAGAGACAAAACACTGTTAGAAGTAGAGGCTTGTAATGGGACGCTGTGGCAACGAATGAAAAAGTCTCTGAATGTATGAATCAGTCAGTGTATAGGATGTTACAGTAGTATGTTTAAAAAATATTTGTTTTTAATTATAAATTTTATTTAAAGTTAATTTTTATTATGATTATTGGCAAGTAGCGTTAGACGTGTATTCATTTATTGTCGCAGTGATAACGACACGCTGTATATTAGAAGTAAAGTCATTGTGTTTGTTGATATTAAAATTTTAAATCCTGCATCATCATCTGGAACAGCCATTGTTTTCTATATACACATAGAGTTTCCAAACACAAATACCTGTAATGGATATATTAGCGATCTTTCCTAATAGCATTACGGCGTCCACGTCGATTCTGAAGTTGCCATCGTATGATAAATCGAATCTGATGTCGAGGGAGCGAAGACGGGCACCGTCCTCCTCAAGCTCACCGCTTAGCAATTGCAAGTTGGCTATGCTCGGAAACTCTGTGCCCACTTCTAAGGAACGAAGCTGGAAAAGAGCACGAAATATTGTTATTGACGTTTCATTGGTATGATTATGGCTAGATATGTATGGATCTACTTATATGTAGTGACAACCAACCGGAAGAAGTAGCGTTGGAAGGCCTCCCACTAGAAGAACCGAGTAAGAGTCGCGGGCAACTGGATACAAATGGAAAAGTCGTTGTGGCGTTTTAAAGAGGAGGCCTTTGTTCAACAATGCACGTATGCCGGCCGATTTAGACGTAAATGTATAAATGTTAAGGGATATACAGAAATATTTATGGACGAATTGACCGCGTGGAAAGCTTCATGACTGCAGTATACAATTAGTCTACTTGAGACTCCACCACCATAGCTTCCCTTATAATAATTAGATAAAAAAAAAACCTGGGACCTATATTGAATGAAAACCGAGCTCTCGAATTCTCGGACATGGAGCTATCACGGCTCATACACATATATCTATGTATATATATTTTATTTATCTATTTTATTTCCTAACTATTTTTTCCATAGGTTAAGAGAAACGTAATTAGTAATTAGAAACTCCAAACCGTTTAACACGTTCCATGTCAGCAACTCATCCCTGTGCGTTTTTTCTTGGTACCACCAAATATAGTAAAAAATTTATGTAAATTAAATGGTGGCATAGATGAATGCATTAAATGCTTGATTTTTAATATATAAAATGAAAACAAATCATAATTGTTCTCACCGTCAGCGACTCGAATATTTTCCCGGAGGAAGTTTTTGCCAATAGCTCTGCCAACTCGCTGGCCATCCGGCGGCGCAGCCAGCGAGTGTCTGCCGTACTCTGCTGGAATATGAACTGCAGCATCGCGTTCAGCACACCCTCAGGAGTGCTCCCAGCCCCGCGGGTCAACTCATTCAGGATCTCCTATGGAATGATATTTATTTTAGATCAACTATTGCAAAGGGTGTCTCAATGAAGCGTCCAAAGCCAATGTGTGTGTGGAGCATTCGTGCTACGGCATTAGACACCGAATGGAATTTTACTCTTAACTTTTCGAGTTTTTGTTAATGCCAAAGGAAAACTTTTGAATAAATTTAGCCATATATTTGGTACTTGAAAAAAAAGGGAAATAATAAAGAACAAGAAAAATCTGGACTCAAACCGGGGTCTTCTGGTTTCGAGACCCTATTGAGAGATTTCTCACCTGAGCTATTATAAACTTGTAGATGGTGGCGAAATTTACCTTCGTATTCTAATGATATAGTAGCAGTTTTTCATTGCCTGTAAACATGGATAAAAAGACGTTTTCTAAAAATGAAACCTAGCTAGATCGAGTTATCACCCCCAACATAACAAATGTCTTGAAAACAGTTGGAGTAGAATCGGATTATATATACATATATAAAAGAATTGCTCGTATACAGGTATTAGATAAGAACTATACGAAAATATTGACCACGTGTAGGCACTTCCATTGCCATATCGTTTTTACATATAGTATCTTATTTTTTTGCTGTTTGATTTTAGCGTTTACGCGTGTAAATTTTTTCAATAGTCGTAATTTATGCATATAAAAAAATTTTTGCCTGTTACAGAGAATAGATATCTAAATTTGGACTCAATCCATTTCAAAGTAGAATGGATTTTTTTCCTTAATAAAAATATGTTAGCATATATTTATTCCATTATCATACATTTTGTTAATTTCTGGTAACATATTGCATTATGTCCTGCGAAGTGAAACAATTTTTATTTAATATTCGAAATGGTTAAAAAACATTAACAATTCTCTTTTTAATTTTTTTTTTAATTTAGCGGCTTAAAACTAAAACTACTTAAAATGGAAGTGAGTCAAATTAGAATGGCTTCGTCTGTAACACTAAATATTTCAAACACTTGCGAATGGACCATGCTGTAATCAAGAATTTTCAAAACACATATTTACTACGTTTCGTTGTAAAATTGTCGTTTACCTTGAGTTACTACGTTATAGTTATGAACTTAATTCTTTTTTCCATTGCCATAACATTGATAAAATTTAATCATTAAAAAGTTTACAGACAGAGCTGGCTGTTCGACATTTAAAATGTTTAATGCATGATATTACCTCATTTTGTTAGCAGTTACAATATAATAGGATTAGTTAGGTGTTAGTAAGAAATAATCACTATTATCTTATTTAATTGACAGATATACTTATACAAAGTTTTTTTTCTTATTTACACAATTATATTCATTCTTAAGTCGTAGTTTACGAGTATCTTTCCTAAATAAGAGTAATAAAACAAATCATCATGGAAATTTCTAAAAGAGGAAAACATTTTTTAAGACATTTCATAAAATACAAACTTTAGTATTAGTCTACTTAACAAAGTGGCAAAAAGAATAAAGCAGCGTTGTTCATTTTTTTACCCGAACTAAAGGGGAGAGACACCAGTTGCTCTCTTTAAAGCTTAATGGACGTTTGGCTATATAAAAGCGAAGTCCGATTCTTAAAGTGAATGGGTATGATCCAACAAAATCTCGAAATGTTAGGTACCTACATACGAAATTGGCGTTTCACGTCGAAAAAAATATGAAATTAAAGATTTAATCAATCGAAGTATGTACCATTATTATCTAAGCACTGTCGCCATTTTATAGGAACTACCTATAAACACATGTGTTTTATATTACTTTTGCCGTGAAAAGTTTCGCATAGTCTAAAGGTTTGTTTTCGTGAATACAAAGATGTAATAAAACTCACGTCTATTTACGAGCACTAACGAATTGGTAAATAGAATAATTAAGGGTCGTTATTTTGGGGTTGCCGTTCATGTAAATGTTCATTTAAACGTAACCTTTAAAGCTTAGGAAGCTTTTATACAAAATGTTTGTATAGGCTTTGCCGAGCGAACATTGGAACAGTGCCAACGATACAACCAGGACCATCAATTCATGCAGCTAATAGAAATTAAATTGAAAAAGTAATCGTTTTAAATAAATACGATAATGACGACACTTTTTATAAAGAAAGTCATGATACGGCTTGATATGCTTTTCTTGAATGACAGCATTTAACATAAAATCAGAGTATTATAATTTTTTGTTTTAAAACGTCTTTATTCATACGGCATATCCATATTTTGTTTTTAAAAGTCCTTAATATATGGCCTTTTTGTTGGTAACGTTTTGATATCGTGATAGACCCAACTGAGGATATTTAAAACATCAGAATAGGCTCTATCAGCCGCAAGTTTTTTAATTCACTGTATTTTTAAACATTACATAAGCCTTAAATATTTATTATTTTTTGTAGTATTAGTATATTAATATATACTTTCTTATAAATGTGCTACAATTTTAAATCGATTGTTATAAATGTGATTATTTTATCACATCACCCTATAAATCTTTAGGGTGTCATAATATTGGCGACGAAAAAGGCCGTCTAAATTTGTTCCTTCATTTGTTCTTTGTGACACGTTCTTACGTGCAATATGCTACATTTACGACGTTTTCACGATCTATAAAACCAAAAGACGATTTTGGGCGAACACCCAAATATACTTGTAAGGTTACTCAAATAAATCAAGATTATAATTTTACAAGTTAAAAGATCAAGATTTCATTCGAAAAAGATTTGCAACACTGTTTTTTCATTATATTCTAAAATATAATCATTGTTTCACCATCTCGTCGATCTACTTAATGAAATTAAATTTTGGTAAAATTTTCATCAGTATTGTACAAGTTTCTAATTAAAAGGTCGACAGCCTCTCTATTAAAATGAAATCAAATTACTTACGGGCGGCAATGTGACAGGGAAGGTAAATTGCTGCTCCGGAGGCTGTTTCTTTTCGAAGGGCCTGATGAAGTAGATGAGAAGGGCTACGGGTATCGCTAAAGCGGCGGCGGCTCCGAACAGCGCTGCTAAAAGGAGCCAAGTCCAGTCCGGCATGATTGCTTGATTAGCTGAAGAGAAACACATACTTAGTCAGAAATGGCCTAGTGCTATCAGCTAGTGTGTAGTGGCGGCGGGGCTTAGTAGCCCCGCCGCCACTACATAGCCACTACATAGCGGGAACACTAGTTTTTGAATGTGAAACCAAGTGGTTCCTCTGGATACCCTTTGCTGGTCTGCGGTTTAAGGCCGACCCAAGAGGGCCGCTCCTAGTGGGCTTAAATGGGCGTTTAAAGCCCGTCCTAGATGCTTGCTGGGAGGGTGCGGGGGATAGGTAGAGGGTGGTAGAGGAGGAGCCACTCTCTTAGTATTCTGCAACTGGAGTATCACGGAGGAAAAAGAGTTTCGGTATTGCGTGTGGCCGATCACCCTATCTTCCACGACGGCGGGGCTGCACTGCTGTTGCAGTTGGGGTCTGGGAGGCTTGCTGCTTCTTAGCAGTAAGCGGGTATGCGTAGACATTTCCCTCGCGTTACAAAAAAAAGGTGGCGTTATTCTTGAGATGTATCGTATCGCACATCCCAGTGGCTTTTGATGATTTTTCCCGTATTCACCTCTTGTATTTTGTGTGTCGTATACACCGGTACAAAAAGAAGAAATAATGCTTGTGATTAATCTTTAAACATGAACAGATCAGCACGCTTTTTAAATCCCAATACACAGGAAGTATTCGGTTGATTGAGGCGACTTGATTTTTTTTATTACTTGTTTCTATAATAAAATGAGATCTTGGGACAAAATTATGGAACAGAAGGACAACAGCTAGTATAACGCAAGGCGATTTTTCTTAGTTTTACCGAATGACCAGGTTATATAATTTTTTTTATAGTAACAACATTGCCCTTGCTTTAGGATAACTTTATCCTGTGTTGTAAGGACGTTTTACAAACATAAATTTCACGCGAACAAACGCCCAGATGCCAAACAACTATCTGTGAGTCACACAAATAGTAGTCCCGTTTGAGAATCGAACCCACGATCCCCGACGCCGAAGCCAATACCTTGGCCACTGTGCCAAGGAGACGTCAGAATCGGTAAATCTTCTAAAAATGTATCGTGTACATTAATTAAGAACGAAATAAAGACTTGATTAAATTTGCTTTTTTAATTATTAGCCAAGAAAATTTAAATAACATATGAAACATTGATCTCCACCCACTCACTAAAAAAATTAAAACCGTAAAATCTCTCTATATTAATTTTAAATTACGATTATTCTAAGATAAAAGCTTGTAATTGAAACAGTTCTTAGTTTTAAATGTTTACTACGAATTTTTAACGCGTCGTAACTCGTAACTAGAATAAAAGACAACGTAGTAAATTTTACGTCATTCATCCATCACACTTATAAATTTCACTTCTACCGATATTTCAATAAGGTCGAGAATAGATTGCGTGGAGATAAACTTTTAGATATTGGTGATTCCCCTGGAATTCTCGGCAACCAGGAGTAGTGCTGCCATTAAAAAATATTAAGTTGACTGATTGAGATTCGTTTTACACAGTACATGATGAAATATTTTTAAATACTTAATGTGTAATGGTAATACGGTGTAATGGTAACACGGAAACACGTTATTAACTTGACGGTAGATAAAAACCAGATTACGGTAATTACCGTGTATATTGGAGACAAGCTTTTGTAATTGAAACAGTTCTTAGATTTAAATGTTTACTACGAATTTTTAACGCGTCGTAACTCGTAACTAGAATAAAAGACAACGTAGTAAATTTTACGTCATTCATCCATCACACTTATAAATTTCACTTCTACCGATATTTCAATAAGGTCGAGAATAGATTGCGTGGAGATAAACTTTTAGACATTGGTGATTCCCATGGAATTCTCGGCAACCAGGAGTAGTGCTGCCATTAAAAAATATTAAGTTGACTGATTGAGATTCGTTTTACACAGTACATGATGAAATATTTTTAATTACTTAATGTGTAATGGTAATACGGTGTAATGGTAACACGGAAACACGTTATTAACTTGACGGTAGATAAAAACCAGATTACGGTAATTACCGTGTATATTCGAGACGCTGCCTGCCTTAGCCAATTGCGTTTTGCACCTGTTTGCCCATGAAGGTGGAAGGGCATTGCACGGAAGAGTGAATTCAACCTTAGTTAAAGGTTTGAAAAGCACATAGAAACTCACAAACATAAATATAGTCGATAATAGAATTATTTTGTTAAATAACGATAAATATTAAGTATAACGGTGAATAAAAATAAAGAAATTCGAACATTTAACAACATCCACGGTCACTGTGTGAACAATGTGTACTGTTAGCACTAATTTCGTTATTTCTCAATTGCGCTTTGACATTTTAATTTGCTTATCTTATTTCGTAAGTTGTTACTAATACGGTGAAAAAAAAAACGGAGTACAATTTTATTTTATTGCTTGACCTAGATAGTAAGTGGAAATCAACAAGTAACTCTACGTGTTAACGTTACACGTAAATTAAAATTATTAAAATGCTTAATATGCGTAGGAAAACGCCTGACCCGCCCAGACTAGCGATATGAATAGACGGTAATAAATTATATGATAACGAATTAACTTTATACCGTATCTAGATATTATTATAAAGTTAACGGTATCGTAGATAGGTCAGTCGTTGCTAAAATGTAACGGTGAAGCAATTTAGTGACATACATGTTTACAGCTCAATTGAATATCAATTAAAAATAGCAACTGATAAAGAAATATGAAATCGTACGAGTATTTTGCTCGATTACATAGAAGCGAATATGATCGCTTCTATGAAATCAATTGCATAAGCTTATGCACATTTATGCTCGTATCATTTAATTTGAAATAGGTATTTCATTTCCCCGTAATATAGTACTCCGTGGATGTAGATGTCGTATGTATTATTATGTAGAGGCTTCCTTATTTTTTTTCCTTTTTTCAAAACTCATTTTCTTTTGTTAAGGAAAACCGAAAATGACATATTTTTTTGGATTTTCAGGCATATTCACTACTTAATTTTTATAATTCCTTGAAAAAGTTAAAACAATGATTTGTTATTTTCAATTATTGTATGTTCAGGCTTTTAATATTAGCTCACAGTAAAAAAGTATTTCGGTACAAAATTTATTGAAATTAAAAGCGACGTCATCAAAATATACTTATATCATATAGACGCGGTCTCTATTCAAGATACTCTTCAACAGGACGCCTCTAACAGTGGTCGCTTTACGTGAAAAATGAGAACCATTAGGATTATAAATTTAAAGAGATAATAAGTTAGATTATAAATTGATAGGAGCAGTAAAGTAGCAGTATTTACACTGATGGGCAAAGGCTTCCTCTTTACATGGGGCATTAGGGCATAGTATAGTCCACCACGCGAAACCACCGCGTATGGGCCGACTTCGTATATCTTCATTATTTTTTATTTTTAGGTCGATAATATGCAGTTTTCCACACGATGATTCCTTTCGTCAATGAGCATGTGATAAATCAGCACTTAAAATAACTATTAACGATTTCATTGGCACTGGATTTTGATCTCAGTTTGCTCGATATCGAAATAAAAGCGAGAGTCCGGACACGGAGCTATTGCGGCTCATAAATTCCTATATTTATACTAATATCTTTAATTTAAGAATAACCTAATGATTTTTGTGAAACTTAATACTTTTTGTGCTATGCATGGTGTGTCCTATTAACAACAGGTCTACAGGTAACTTAAGAAATGAAAAGTCACGATAACTTTTTTGATTGTCACTTTTTGAATTTGTTCCTTTGGATTCTATTATTTTCATTCTGCACGTATAAGTAATGATTTATTTTAACAAAAACTAACTACACAATAAGTAAGTACAATAAGTATTAAATAAATTTTGCAACGAAAACAATAACAGGTACACAATTATTTGATGATCTAATTTAATAGTACCTAACACATTTTTTTAGTTTATCAAATAATTACTAATCAAGTAATATAATTGTTTTTTCGCGGATTTTATAACAAATACTTTAATTTACTGTTTAGTGAAATAATGTATCATTATTTAATCTTAAACACTATCATTTTTTAATTGTGTATTTATAATAGAGTGAATAATTAACTTAAAATACACCCCATGCTCTCTTATAACTGTAGAAAAATACAAGTGATTGGTTGCGCCCTCTTAACTATAATGAAATTGAAAATCTTGTTTTTTTTTTTTTTTGAACTGATGTTTTTGCTTTCAGTCCCGAGACTATTAAAGCTTCATCTGACGCAGAACCGGTGGGCTAGCCAGAACCCACGGGTTTGGGCCCTCCGCTGTGGGTAGGGCCGCGCATGTGCTCATGCGTGCGTTTAACTACGACATGTCATCTAAGGGCCATCGAAGTTGCGGTGCGGACCGAGACCCCGATGGCCGTCGACTGTGTTTTCAGCTAATCGGTGGCTGCGGGCGGTAAGAACCGCCCTGGAACGCGGGTGTACCTTGTGTACGCGTTGTGTTGGTCTCGCCGTGCTCGGAGGCGAGTGCGAACTATTGTGTTTGTTGGTACACTAGCTGTGGGTGTAGTGTTATTCGGCGGGACCCCCGGCGGTGGGTCCGGCTTATCTAAGTCCCCTTCCTCGACCGGGTCGATGAGGATGTTTCGCGGGCGACGCTTGTTGACGTTCACGTTTGTGTCGGGTTGGTAATTTGCTGCGCTTACCACCAGAGGGTTGGGATGATGTTCGGCTCTATCGAAGAGCCGTTTTGTCAGATCTTTGAAATATTCGCGAATCGCCGGGAGTCTGCAATCGCTGTGCAGATCGACGTTGCGTTGATACCACTGCGCACCGGTTGCACGGCGGATGAACTTATTTTGTACTATTTGCAGCTTGTACAAGCGAGTAGGGTGCGTGTGGGCGAAGATCATGCATGCGTAGGACATAATAGGTCGTACGCAGGTCTTATATAATAATAATTTGTGCCTTAAGGGCATTTTACTTTTAGCGTTAGTTAAATTGTGTAGCGGGCCGGAGACGAACGTGGTTCTATTACGAACGTT